GTCTAGATTGGCACAGACGCTTTTCTGCAAAAAGTGCTTTTGTGGAAAAGCATCCGTGCCAATCTAGACGCTCTGTTCCGAAAATGCTTTTAACGGAAAACTTTTCCGTTAAAAGCTTTTCCGGAAAATCATGCCAATTTAGATGCAGCCTAGGTGCCTAACTAGGCTCTGTTGGTTCCCTTGTTGTGATTTTTCATGGTGCCTAAAAGTTGGGTGCTGTAAGGTTCAGCATTGCAATGCCTAAGTCCCTTTGCAGATCCCATGTGAAGCACCTATCAGAATAGATGAAGCTGGCCCATTTTTCCCCCTTTTTAAATCTTCTGCCAGATGAAATGCAACATTGATATATAGTTACCAACTTTCACTACTGGATGGGCTAGATGCCAGCCATCCACCTGGGAAAGTTGATAACCCTACACTGATGCCTTAGATATTTCCTAATTGTTCATGTTTAAAGCTGAAAATGTCTGATGCCAAAAGCAAGGTTAGAATTGTGCAAATCTCTTCATCTATAACAGGGTTGGGGAACCTCTACCCAGCATTGAGGAGCCTGTGCTGGTGCTCTGCTGCCCCCACTGCCCACCACAGGTCTGGAGCACACAAACTCTACTAGCCTGGGTCCCCCAAGGCTCTGGTATGCAAGGGGATTGTGGGGAGTGTCTTTCTCTTCAGTAAGGGGCCAGCTCAGTGAGAGTTTGTTTTGTGGTGGTGCTTTTATTTTATTTTGCTTCTGACTTGTGCGTAGCCCCCAACTGATTTTTCTATGGGTCAACGGCTCAGGACCCAAAAAAAGATTCCCCACCCCCGATCTATAAATAAATAATGGAAGAACACCTTTCAGTTCCCCCTCCTAATCAGAGTAACAGACTCAAAATGCAGAAGTTTGTCTTAGTACAGCTATAATAGAATCATACTGATTTTAGTATTAAATAAAAATGAGTCCACTCAAGTCAATCTTTCTATAACATTCAAGGAGCCCTGGAATAGATCCATAGTGACAAGATATAAAGGGCTGAACTGATCACTTAGTCAAGTGTCTTAAGATGATAAAAATGAATATTAAAAAAACTCTGTATGCAACTTGGTAATTGCACATGAAAAATGGAATAGTTCCATACACAGGAATAGTTAAATGCTCAGTTAGCCAAAACGTGCTCTTGTGCATTCCCCATGAAGAGGAATAGACTCGGTTCCCCTACTGGCAGCTGTAAAAAGGTGGTATGAAGTTTCTGGGGCCTAGGAATTGAAGGATTAGTGAACTGGGATCTTGTCTGAGGCTGTGAGGATTATTGTGTGTTTGTGTATTATGCCCTCATGATATAGGGGTGATTCTAGGGGCATGTCTACACTAGGAATTTTTTTCAAAATAATTAAATTAGAAATAACTCCTGAAATAACTATTTTGAAATAAGCTTATTCTCTGAGGAAATCAGATTTTGAAATAATGGGCTCGGTAGTGTGGACACTCTGCTTATTATTTTGAAATAAGGGGGTTTATTTCAAAATAATTCCCTAGCGTAGACCAGGGCAAAGTCACCTGGCTGAAGAGCTAATGAGAAGTGGCAGACAGAGGCGGATACAGGGCAGGGCGAGCGGGGCGGCCGCCCCGGGCCCCACGCTTCAAGAAGCCCTGCGCATGTGCCGTGGCAAGGGGGGGCCCCCCGCGATATTGTGCTGCCCTGGGCCCCGCAAAATGGTCATCTGCCTCTGGTGGCAGATAACACAGGGCTGAAGTGACTGTCAGCAGGAGGTGCTAGCTGAAGGATTCCCGTGAAGGGCATGCCAGTGGTGAGTCGCTCTTCTAGGTTGTCTGAGACATGACACGTATAAGAGAGATGGTTACTGTGTAAGGTTTATCACTCTCCTTGGCTTGTTCCTTGTGCCCCATCATTCAATAAAATTCACTGGTAAGAACTTGAAGTGTGTGTTTGTAGGAAATGACTGATGATTTCAGACTCCATGGATGGATACAAGCCCTGAAAACCTGATACTTGTCCTTGTAAAAACAAGCTCTGAACTCTGCCAAGTTGAACAGCTCAGATTCTGCATATGGATTATGTGCCATTTGCTGCCTGCAAATGAACTGCCAAGCAAGATGTTTTCACTGGAATTATTAACTGAATTACTCTGAAGTCAGAAGAAATTGTGTACTCTCAATAGCAGAAGAAAACTGACAAACAGAACAAGAATAGATCACTTGTTATACATTTCCTTTAGTTCTAAAACTCTGTTCCTCTGCAAAAAATCTAATGATAAAATATTCACTTTGACATTCATATTGCAAACAATTAAGTGCATACCATAGCTTCTTTAAGACTGTCTCACATTCACAACACAGTATTCCTCAACAGGAATCAACAGAACTCTTTGTGATAGAGTGCCATCTTGTGGCTTGGAGAGGTTGCTACAGCATATGTTTGGCATATATGTATCTCTTGACTTCAGAGGGTGCTTCTATGTTGCCCTTATGCAAAATGGTGTCTCATTAAGTATGCAAATGAGGCATGGCGATATTCATCACCATGCCTCATTTGCATATGTTCTTGAGCAAGAAAGCGCAATGTAGACCTAGCCTATGTGTAGTATTTTTCCTACCAGTTTTACTAAAGTGACACATGTAAAGCAAGGGCACATGAAGTGAGTTGTATGCCGATTGCACACAACATTAACCGTGAGAGCCATGTACTCGCCCAGCATCCAGTCAAAGCGCTGTTCTGGTTCACTTGGCACATCACACAAATTCTAGGTGCACAAACAGAGTTTGCAAAACTACCCTATGTTGGTTATGACATTCTTCTGGCCCACTCACTAGCCCAGGCTGTCCATCCCTGGATCTAGGTATCCAACTGGTCAACCAGCCTTTAAAATGTCTGTTTTCACTTTAGCCGTCTATAAAACTGTTAATACTTAGCTGTCTCTCAGGGTCCAGTGTGAAGTAATTATGCCATCTTGTGGCTTTAAGATGTTGCTACAGCATGTGCTTGTCACATATGAAGCAAAATGCAGGACAATGTAGCACTTTAAAGACTAACAAGATAGTTTATTAGATGATGAACTTGTCACATATGTATCTCTGGCCTTTCTGTAAAGAATCTCAGATAATTCTTATTTCCACTTGATGGAAATCTTTCAAGAAACATCTATATGATGACAAATCAGAGAAATAGGAAATCACTCAACCATTTTTAGTGCCAGGGCTATTTTTTAACATTCGCCAGTCATTCCTTAA